ACAATCCAGGTCTTGTTCCATTCGTGCTTTCTCGCCAGCCTAGGTGGGAGAGCGCGCACTCTCCTCTGGAGCGTTGGGCGTGGAGGCGGGCAGCGGCTCTCTCCTGGCAAAATGGTTTCTGTACGTCTGCTCACGTCGGGTAACTTTTACAACCTGCTGTAGCTGCTCTGGCAGCAAAGTCGTCGCTATGTGAAGTTTCAGAGCGTACCTGCAGCACCTTGTGCGTGATCTTTCCCCGATAATCTGCCGCTCTGCTTCGCCGTTTCCCCGGGAGGGAAGAGCAGACCGGCCGATACGCGCAAGTGTTACGCAATGACAACACAAGACGTGTGCAACCAGTTTGGATCTCTCTAGGGATCCATGAGCCTCTGCATGTAGGTGCTTGCATCGGATGACTTCATTTATAGGATTCATTCAAGGTTCATCGCTGCCACTTCAGAAGATTGCGTTGTCATTTTTTTTTTTAACTCATGTTAGTTTCTGTCTGACAGATAATATCACGCCAGATACCACGCCATGTTTGCGTTTTTGGTACTGCTGTGTCAACTACATGGGATGGTGTTTGCACTTCCTCACTGCACAGGGAGATTGAATAACTTGAAGCAACCCAAACAGAAAGACGGTAATTTACTTTTAACGTGATTTTATGCTTTCTAAAATAAAACTGTATCTAACTTTGCTTCTGCTGAGAAATCTTTTTACGTATGTAAATAGATTTGGGGGGCGGTTAACTTAATTGAAAAAATTAAGCTGTTTTATGCTTACTTCTAGGATATTTGAGTATCTTTTGCCAAAATGATTGATAATTGAGTTGTGTGTCGATATTAAGTATTTATCAGAGCCAGTAACAAGTGCAGATTGGGACAACTGAGCTTTCTTTAGGTCTCTAGGATTATTGCCATTGATATAACCAGAATCCTCCAAGTAACATCAAAATTCCAAAAAGTTTGACATCTGTATTAAGACAGTACTGCTTTGGTACTATTAGAGCACATCACAGTTTTATTTGTGTATCTAAAATTGCTTTGTATTTGAAAGGGTTTATTTGCTCATTTTTTGAGATTGATTTTTTTTTTGTCAATACCGTATCCCCTTACACCACCTTGACAGATACCCATAGTGCTGCTATTGCAGTTCTTCACTTTGGAGGGAGAGAAGTGGAGAGGAATTGAGGTAAAAATAAGTAAGTTCCCAAAAAAGGACTCAAGCTCAACATTGCTAAGCCGAGGGATACTTAACATATAGGGCTTCAAAAAGGAATTTGTAACTTAGCTGTCCAGTCTCCTCAGTGGGTAAAGAGTGCTGAAACCTTAAGACAAACTTCAAAAAGTCACCACATTGAGCAGGAGGCTCCTTCAGGACAGTATGTTGAGCAGAAAACATGGCTAGCAGAAAAACGCTCGAGACTGGTTATTCGTTAAAATCCATATTGCTCTGGGGCATGAAATGTCAGGCAGCCTCTTTCCTGTGAGTTCATGGTGTAGAAGCCTCTCCTGACAATAGGCCCAGATCACGCCTTCTTTAAAGATGGAGTTGGAAAGAGAGGGGCCCAACTCTTATACCCAATAATTTAGCAAGTAGAGCAGCTGTCAAGAGTATGGGGTACCTGCATGGAGAGGTTAGTCCTTCAGCATTTTCTGAACATCTTTTACCATCAGAGTTACTTTATTCAGCACATTGTGTGGATGCTTTCAATTAAATGCTAGGCATCCTAAAACTGGATTTACCATTTTGTTGAACCACAGCATCAATTATAAAATGCATCCATTATCTTATCTAAATTAATTCAGAAGTATAGCAAATACTACTTGCATCATAAGGATTGAAACATTACTGAGCAAAACTGAAGATCTCTGTTTCAGAAAACTGAAGTTACTCTCGTGATTTGCACTCAACCAAGATATTGATACTTTTTTCCATGTAATTCTGTTCCCTTTCCACTTGTGGGTTTGGGGGATCTTTTTGGATGAAGTCCTCTCTCTGGTTACTCTCAGATATAGCATAAATACTTTAAGCTTAGGTTTTCTTGCAATTACTTTAGAATAACAGATTTTCCTTCCTACACAAACGTGTGTGCACACATGTGGCTCCTCCAATATATAGTGTAATATTATATATTATATCAATATATACTGTAATATTCCTTCAATATGCTATAATATTAAAGACATAAGCAACTAATATGCAAGTTACCCTGCAGTTTTCTTAGTTTTCAGAGAGCAAACCATTTTGAGGTACCGTTGCAAGATCTAACAGTAACTATTAGGGTAAGAATTCCTGAATGATAGGATAATCTCGCCAAACAAGCTAACAAGAACACAGAGCTAATTTGTAGCTGAATAACATTATTCTGAATCTCATCTCCTTTTTTAGCCATCTGGCTTGGTATGTAACAATGCTGTTTCTGCATTACACTTGCAAAAATAATCTTCTAGTCATTTTGCTTAATGGAATAGTCTGAATTTCTTGGAGTACAGATTAGGCTTTTACTGAAAATCAAGCCAGAAAACTAGTTCTGTCATATAAAGATTTTTTTTTTTTTTTTTTTAAAGAAGCTGTAGAAAGAGCAGGCTAAAACTTGACTATGGAAAATGCCCGGTGAGAAAATGCATTCCTGTATTCCAAAGCCTTCTATAATTTCACTAACTCTTCTGGAATCTCACCTCACATGAGGCCTCATGGAGCCTGTAATAAGCACAAAAGAAGAAAAGAATTAAATGCCTGTTGTCAGTAAAACTCCTATCATGGACTAATTTAAAAGAAACTTGGCAGTATGCCAACCTTTACATAAAACTTGCTGCCATGATTCTGAAAAGAGAACAAATGTAAGATGAATAGGACACTGCTGCCATGATTTAAAAATCCAAATTCCATAAGCAAAACTTGGAACTCACAGATACCAGAATATTGATAAATGTATATTGAGGATTCTTTAGAAGGAAGAGCTTTTTTTCCCCTCCTTTTTCCCCCCTTGCCTCCTTCCTCCAGTAGGTCAGTGTCTTGCCAGGTTTGCATCTGACTGAATTTCTGCTTTATGTGACTATTACTTTGTTCTGAAGAGCTCCAGTAAAAAACTGATGCCCACATCCCAAAGGAATAATACCAAAACTTGAACAACAGCTGTCATGAGAATCCAATTCTCTTGGCCAGTGTAAGGAATAGCTGAAACACTGTGTGAGAAAGGAAAATAAGTTTATTTTATATTGCGTAGTTGGAAAAGTTAGCAGTGAAGAAGACATTTTAGGAGGAAACTTTGATGTTTCTTTTTCCTGTACGTATTTGAGAGATGCTAAGGGAAGAAGGGGTCTCAATGTGTCGTTTAAGATATTAACCATCCCTTAAAAATACCAAATGTAGCTTTCCTAACTTGTTTTAAATCAACTTGATTTTTATTAGTGTTCACATCAGAAAAGGAGGCCAATTTGTTCATTGGACGGCATCTTCTGAATAACAGATTTGATTTTGAAGCATTCACAGCAGATAACCTGGAAAGAGAATGCTTTGAAGAGCTGTGCAATTATGAAGAAGCAAGAGAAATTTTTGAAGACCCTGATAAAACGGTAGCTGTTCAAACTGAATTTAATATACTGAAGGAGGTTATCGACTAAATCATTACTGTATCTAAATACTATAGCCCTTCTAAAAACAGCACTTAAAATAAGATTATTATTTTACTGTAAAAACAGAGGCCCCAATTAGATGAGGTTATTGTTTTAGATACACAGTGAATACATCTGAATATATACTATTGTCCTAAAGACTTTAGATAAGGGCTCCAATTCTGTAAACAAATAGAAATGAAACTTCAGATGTACCACTTGTGGATATACTTATATGTGTTTTCAGAATCTCATTTTATTTTTTTTAGTAACTTCTCAGCATGCAATTTGAATGTGTTCCACATGGTGTATGTATTAATGGGCCGATGGTATCCTTGTGTCATGCCAAAGAAGTGTTTTAGAAGAGAAGAGTGCGGAGCAAATCCGCAGTTTAGCTATTGCTGAGTATTCCTAGAGCATTATCTTCTAAATCACTACCTGTATACAACTTGAAAGAAACCTGGTATGAAAAAAAAAAAAAAAAGAAAGATAAAAATACCTAAGAAACTTTTCAGCCCAATAATGAAACGTGATGATTGTCTGCGGACTGGCTCTTGCTGCATGCAGCAAGAATCTCTTTGTGATTCTAGGTGTACTCTGCACTAACCTGCAGAAAGAGCAAGGAATACGCTCCTGTTCCGAGGGTGGAAATGTTAGTTTGCCATTGGTAGCATTTTCCTAAGAAAAGTGAAAGTTTTAAATGGGAATCTTGATGGGAGTCTTTTGCTGGGTAGCGAAAGTGGAAATTATAGCTAAACACATTTAATGCATAACAGTAATGCAACATAAAGGTTTTTCTCTTAAATGAGTCCCATTACTTTTGCTGATATGCATTCAAATAGTGTTCATGCAAATATCTGATTCTTAAGACCTTGAATTTGCCTCATTAATACCCTTCTGTAGGGATTTACAAAGATTAATTGTAAGCATTTTTTTTAGTGTCCGAATATATGCTAACCTCTACTGTAATCAGGTAGAGGTATGAGGTAACATTGGACAGTTTAATGCACTTTCTCTTGCACCAGCTGGCATTTTCTTCTTTGTGAAATTGTCATTTTTATGCAAAATGTATGAGAAAAATACGGTGGGATAAGCAAGTAGAAATCCTTCAGTGTTAGTTGCTTCTGTTTATGCATTGTTAAATTTTGCCCACGGTACCATATTAAAAAAAATTGTCAATAAGCCTGCCAATTATATATCTCGTATAAATCTGATCCTTTGTGTTTTTATAGATGGATTTTTGGAAAGACTATTCAACTAAAGGCCCTAAGATAAAAATAGGTAGGTCGTATTTTTATTCTTTTACTCTTTTCCTAGATTACAATATTTTGTTTGTTGTAACAGTGCATTCTTAAAAATATACCATACATTCAGTTAGCAAAATCAGAATTGATCTTTTTACTGAAATTCATTGTGAACTGTGCAAGTATACTGCATTATCTGATACAATAAAACATATTCACTAAAGCATTTTACAGTGGGCTCCATCATAAGTCTGTAGGTAAAAAACAATATGAATTTTGTTGTCCATTTCTTTATTACACAACCCATAAACTTTGCAGTAACTGTGCGGCTGCTTTCTGTGGTTTTGTTTTGTTTGTCTGTCCCCTGTTCCCCCCCCACACCCCATTTCTTTAATAGTAATGTAACAGTCTGATTCAGGTTCAGAGTCAATCTTATGCCAGATGTTTTGCTAAAAAAATGGTCAGTATGACTTGAGGAAGGATCTACAGCCTGATCAAGGTCACAAGTACATGAAGTAATATTTGGAAGGCATTAGACATCTCAACAGTTTTGTGTACAGAAAAGGGAATATCTACTCACTTTTGCTTTAAGATGAATGTGAGTCATGCTCTTGGGTTGTGTTGCACAGATATTATGGCTTCTCACAGCAAGCTAGACATTTGTGGAAAGGAACAGCCTTATAGCACAGCGCAATTAGTATTTTACAGTGTATACTGTATAAGGAACACATAATGAAAATAACCAATTTTTTATTTTCAGGTGATGAGACACCTGTCTCAAAGATTAATGTTACAGGACTTCTTATCAGTCTAGTTGCTGCTGGAGTACTGTTAGTTATAATTGTGCTGCTTATCTTCTACTGCTGCAAAAGTAGATGCAAATCAAGGCAACCACCAGGGTAAGGAATTTCACTGCTTAAAAAAACCAAACCACCATCAAAACAAACTCTTCCTTAAGAGTGGCATTTAAAAAAATCACAGTAGGTTTTTCTAAATGTATTGTCAGATAATCCAGTGGGAATTCTAGTTCTTACTTTCCTGGAAGCAAAGTTAGGTGGGCACGAGCAGTAGTTATGCTGAAGCTGACACAAAAAAGTAAACCACCACTTGCATGGATGATGTATCTTTGGGGTTTTTTTCTATGTGTGTTCTTCGTTCCAAAATATTATTACTAGAAAGACGGAATCAATTTAATACATTGGGGCCTGCAACGGAAAGTCTAGCGTGTTCCGTTCACTCTTTAAAGTAGGGTGGATGCTCCTCGTGGCAGGTAGCCTACCTCAGGTGTGAGATGAAGTAGGCTGGAGGAAATGCTTCTCTACTAATTCTACAGCCCTGCTTGTTCCTTTATCCTAAACATGAAAGGAACACGAGAGAATTCTGTGCTTCCTCTTCCTTATAAATTTCACATTACTGACCTATTCTTACCCTGGGGTTTGGAGAGGGCATTTGGTTTCTGGTCTCTATGATCACTGAAGGGAAGTGTTTTTTTTGGGGGGTGGGTTTTTTGTTTCTTTGAGGGTTTTTTTTCTTTTTTGTGTGGTTGGTTTTTTGGGGTTGGTTGGTTTGTTTTACAACTAAGACTTTATATTCTTTCTTCCCTTTAAAACAGAAGCTACCACTTATAATGCTGTTGACTTTGTTTAGGTACTTGGATTATGTAAGAAGTAGAAGACGTAATTCATCTAGCATCTTCAGAAGGCATGAAGAATTTTCTTTAAACCCACTTCCTCTCAGAACCGATGATTCAGGACTGCCGACTTACGAGGAAGCCGTTACCTCAGACGGACACGATGTGCCACCGCCCCCTTATCCAGGGCCCCCAAAAGGGGCACGGGTGTTTCAAAAGTCTATGTCGCTTCCTGCCCCTTAGACATACATCACCTTCTGAGGTGAGGGGGGATTACTGAAACATAACATACTTTTTTTTTTAAAAGTGTGTGCTACCTTGCATATTGCAAGACAGTTTACAAAAATGTGAAAGATCTTTAGCACAACTAGGAAAAAGTGAAAATCCCACTTGGGAAAAAAGGTCATCTGTTGTAAAGGCTGCGGGACTACTCTTTGCACAAGGTTAGGGCATGCATAAAGAGTACATCTGGTACTGTTACCCTCTTCCGTATGCACTTTGAGCCATCCCATCATACTATTGATGTTTCATTAATAGTTTCATCTTTTTTTTTTCCTTAGAAGGAACAGTATATTAATTGGTTTTATTGACACTAACCATTTTTATGACTATGAATACTGTAAAGCTATATGCTCTATGCTGTAGAGCACACTTTTCTCTGGGTTTTTCCTGGGATGCAAAAATGACTAATTTAATGGGACTGATAAGAGCACTTTCAAGGAAAGGGATTTCACAGGGCTTGTGAGAGTTCAGAGATTCTTTGATGGTACTACAGTGATGTACACATCTGGCAAAGTCACGTTTTAAATAAACTACAGAAGTTGTACAGAAACCTATTTCATCACTTGAAATTTGATTCTTCTACTATTCCTACAAATCATTTGCAAATGATTCCATGCAATGCAAGCAAAAATCTTCACCTTCATAATTAATAAAAAACCTTAAGATGGTGTAACTGTTAAACACCAATGCTGTAGCTCTTTGGGCAGTAAGCTGCACCTTCTGTAGGGTGTAACACTTCAAATTTACTCAAAGAATCTGCACTTTAGACCCTGAAGATACTCAAAATATGCAGTGACTGACATTCAAATACTGGTTGCATGTAACACGACAATTTGCAAGACAGGTTCTGCTTATTATAAATAAGTAGCAAGTTTAAGATTTAGTTGAACGTAACGTAAGCTTACCTCTCCTTGTAAAGGGAGAAAATTCCCTCGAATGGCAGTCGTTGGGTTGAGTTTGTTCTTCTTTCATACATTGACTCCTGGCCCAAGACACACTTACCTTGTATCTTGTCTCTTTTTAGAACATCTGATTCATCAGGGTTTGCAGAGGAAAAATCAGCAAGAGGTAGACTATGGTGACTACTGAATTCGGAAGTATTGCCACATTTCCAAATTTTACATGCAGTTTCCCTGAAAATGCAGTTGCTATTAGAATATAGAAAACAGCAAATGTAAGCGTCCTTAGGTGGGAGGAGAGGGAGGACGAGGCAGGTTTTGAGGAACAAAGCAGCAGCAAGTTTAATCTAATTTGTACACAGATGTAAAACATCAGTGTTTTGACTCCCAGACTTTCTTTCAAGGGCCAGTAGGAAAGGCAGTGGATTTTAAGTGAATTAACAGAGGTATATTGTGACAGTTGAAAACAGAAGCATCTAAACAAAACACTGGGAAAAATTATGTAGTATTTAAATTCTATTTCTTTCAGAACAGGTTTGAACATGTCACAGTAAATGCTGCTAGTCATCGCCTGGAACAATTTTCCAAAAACTTCCTGTGTTACCCTTTCAGCATTAGACAAGCTTACAGAATGCAACCGTTTATAAATCAGAACAGATTATTAGAGCAAATAACTGAGGGTCAGAAAAGTGGTCTCCGGCTCTGACAACTGAAAAATAAATCACTTTTAACCTGTTTTTTGCTTCAGTAAAACAAGAAAGTCTACTATTTGATTTATCAAATCCTCTGATGAATAGTACTATAAGCAGTATGTGTTTGGGGTTTTTTGTGGTTGGGGTTTTTTGTGTGAATTCATTAGAAGAGCAAAACCAAAGTACCAAATGGAAATGCACTTCACCACAGTTCATGAAAATGCAAGTCAAGAAGCATTTGATTCTGGTCCTATCAAAGTCTATGGCAAGCTTTTTATTGGCTTCAGCTGAACTGGGATTGGAGCCAAAAATGAAATAACTGATCAGGTCATAAAAAGTATAATGCTCTGCCAAATTATTTACCACAATGCTGTGGCCAAACCTGATTTAGAGTATTCTATTGTTTTAATGATGCCTACTTACATTAACTAGAATGTTTGAGGCTGATCTGCCCTTAAAAAGTGTATTTGAAATTTGGAAAGCATAGGAAAATTCCTTGTCTTTCCTCAGATTACCAGCCATGAATAAGCTGCATTAATTACTGGTAGGAGGTTATTAGCAACACTGATTACTTTGATCAACAGTACAGGTTCATGTAAAGATTTTTTAAACAAACAAGCAAACAGAAAAAACAACAAACTTCTCTATCTACAGTCCTATCTGCCAACAAAAGTTTTATTGCTGCTATCCTCACTTGTTCCATGCGGTGTAGAGAACAGGAAGGAAACACCAGGTTTAAAAGCCGTCTTCCAAACACTTCAAGTTTGCTCCTTCTATACTGTAAATGTCTTTCAATTAATTCCTATTACATACAAATTTATCACTATTATAAAATTTTCACACTCAAGAACTTGGATGTATTTTCCTCTGAAAAATCCTAAGCGCACTTTTGCGAATACCCTGCTTTTTATTCAGGTGGTAATTTTTGACTGTTTGCAGTCATTGCCGAACTGCGTAAACAGTTCTTGTTACTTAATCTTATGAACGTATTTCCTTCTACTTCTACTCTACTTCTACAAATACTGGTTGTATTTGAATTCTAACTTTGATGTTAAGTGCTGTCATTTTGGTGGAGGAGGTGTAGCAGTATTTTAAACTCTGTTAGTCTCTGTATTATTTTGTAAATCAATTTCCAAATAAATATTTATGCAGGTTAATCATAGCAAAGAGAAGATGCTAGTTCAGTCTATGATAGAAAGTTAAAAAACCTCTGACAACCCTTTTGTTTCTTGTTGGTGGGTTTTTTTTTTTAAATGAAGTTTGTAACCACATGCAGTCTTCTTCATGCCATAGAGCACCTATCGACAGGGAAAAAGAGTCATGGTTTGTTTTAACACAGGCAATTTCTACACTGGACAGAAGCTTCATACTTCACTGCTCTAGTTTGCTTAGGCATCCGAAGTTCTGAACCATGAACCGCAGTCACTAAAGATTAAGTCTTCAAGACAAACAAGCCAACTGAACCAGGTGTTATACCCTTCCATCTTCCTGGACTTCCACCTTTGGCGAGATTTCTTAACACAATGATGTGGCCAAAAAATATCCTACTTTCCTGAGGGTTAGTGAAGTGAGCAAGATCACTACAGTGAGGACCAGAACAGGCATGCAGAAGCAAGATGGGAGGCAGGACCACCTCATTTGGTAATGGTGATTTCAATCTGAAGTGAAGATACACATTGTGCAATGAGGATAAACTTCTGCAGAGAAGCAAGAGGGATAGATGAGGGCAGCTACACAGAGCAAATACTGTAGCACAGCAAATCACACTAAATTAAGCCACTCTTATTTTGCCCACTGGAAGACGAGAGTCAGATTTGTGCTTTTTCTCCCAACCATACAAGATGAGCTGAGCTAGCTGGTTAAAACTCCCCAAAGAATACCAGAATCGCCTCCTGTGTTTGAACATCCAATGAAGCTTTTTAGTCAGTCAACTGAACAGAGATTTGGCATACAGCTGGTGGGGTAGAGATGCTTCATTCTCATTGAAAGTCTTGAGGAAAATAGGATTACAGTTCTTTGGAAAATGTCTTTTATGTCATCTGTTTACTATATTATGACTTCAGCTATACAGTTCCCAGCTTAAAAAAAAAGAGCAGTTTGTATCTACTGGATTTCAACAATTCTGAAAATTACATGAAAGTTGAAAAAATCTACAGCATTCTGACTACCTATTAAAAAAAAAAAACAACAAACTAGCCAAAACTCAGATTAATAACATTTCTCATCTAACTTTTAATCTGTGTCCATTTAATAGAAAGCCAGCCCATTCACTTTGAAACGTCAAAAACAATTACTGTAAAATGGACCTGACTAATTTGGCAAAATACTGAAATGTCAGCAAAAGACTAGCTCAAGCTGGGAACAGCAGGTCCTATGATGTACCAACAAGGGAAGCAATAGTACTTCCATTAATGTTTGAACTGCTGACCCCTGTTGGAGCAACCTCCCTAAATTTTCACCAGGTGGACACCATTCCTCTATTTTATGAAAAAATACATTATCTTTTACATAACTTCACAACTGCAACTACACTAATTTCTTACATGGAAAATAACAGAACAGTATCAAACATATTTCGGCTGTTTTTAATGCAGTAAATTTTGTCCATGTTGAAAATACATATATTAACTACTTTTGCTTTACATTTAACTTTCCTTCTGGTCTTTTTTTTTTAATTTTCTTATTGTTCTATCTATAATTTGCTATTGAACTTTTTCCTTCTCCGATTCCTTTTTCTGTGTCTATTCAAGATCTGTCATTGCACCCACTCACCTGTTCGCTGCTTAATTCACACACACACCCCCCCCCCCCCTTTCCTGGACATGGTTCCCAAACACCTGGTCCCCTCCCACTTTCTGAAAACAACTCTTCTTGCACAGCTTCCCCAGTCTCTTCACAGTGAGAGCCAGGATTTTAGCTCCTCCTTCCTCTCCTGCTGTTGGACTCCTTAGGGCTCCTTGCATGGGATCTGGACTACAGAAACACTGAAACAAAAAGGGCCATCAGATGCAGGCATCTTGCTGCCTACGTTCTGGGAGCCTCTAGAAGCCCCCACTTTAAAGGCAGCAGCCAGACTTCAAAGGATCAGGAAAAATATTTCAGTCTAGAAATTGGTACATTTAAATACAAGTTTTGAAAGGGCTTTATAATAGGTTTTAAATTTCTAGATGCAGTGCCTACTCGATTTAGGAAATAAGACACTGTGATGGCTGAAGTTTTTCAAGCAGCATCAGTTTAACTTCTCTAAAGATCAGTAACTACTAAGTACTACATACTTAAACATCCAGTATTTAACATTCAATACCCAGCACAGATATGATAAAAAGAAAACTATCCAGTAAGAGTTAAAATAAAATACTCCTTGTTAAAA